TGTATATATATATATATATATATATATATATGTACCATAATAACAAAAATCCTTATAAAACATCATCCCCATCAGTTATCTATATTATCTGCCTTTGGACACTTGTTTTGGTGATCCCTACTTAGACATATTGCTTCCTATTTATAATGACACAAAACACATAATGTTTGGGTGACAATCAATTTTATTTATGTTACCTAGACCTCATTTGGAGCTCTGGTAGCATAGTGACTAAGGCACTTGACTGCTAACAAGAAGGCTGGCGGTTCAAACCCACCAGTCACTTCTCGGAAGGAAGATGGGGTAATCTACTTCCATAGTGATACTGCCTTGGAAACCCAAGGAGGGGTCGCTATGAGTCAGGTCCAACTTGATGGGGCACATAACAACAACGACGACAGACCTCATTTATTTCCAGGTCTGAACAAATATTTTGAACTCAATTGTTTAAGATTTTTTCAACTTGTGAAATGCAAACGCTTTTATTTTTCAGACCTAGACTATTAGAACAGCCTCCCAAGGCAAAGTGTCCTGGATTCCAGTTTCAACCTTTCAAATGCAACCTCCTCCAAAATGCAAATCTGATTCTCTGCCATGCTTAAATGGTTCCAGCTGCTCTATGCCCCAGATACATAAAATTCCTTAGACAATTTGCTTCATATCTCCATGCCTTGGCTCAGGCTGCCTTAAAATTCAGGTACAGGTAACAGGTGATGACTTGCTCCTCGGGTTCATACTGTGTTGCGTTTGGACACATAACCTAGCTGTAGCATCAATCACACTGTGCAGCATTGTTATTATACATCATTACACATGATTAGTAAAACAAAATTGTAGTTCTTGTTTCTCATTCAGTTCTAGCTCTGGAAGCAATCCTTGACCCTCTGCTCAATCCAGCACCCTAGGCAGGATTATATCTCTCTCCTCTGTAATCCGTAGCACTCTGTCGATATATCTATCACAGTGCTTGTTACCCTAGAGTGGGGTACTTCTCTTCCTCCTTATCAGGAGTGATCACTTAAGGGAAGGGCCCATGCCATTTACTTTTTATCCCCTATACTTGGCACATAGTAGGTGCTGTCTGCTACTTTGTTTTCATATTAGATTTTAGGTTCAGAACCTACAGACGATGGAATCTGGTTATTCATATTATCAGTACTTAATGAATTATCCAGTTGAAAATATATTTTATGAATTCATTCAAACTTTCAATAAACAAACATCTATGAAGTACCTACTTGTGTCAGGCACTGTGAATAAAAAGGTTAAGGAGTTTGGGGTAGGAGGAGTCACATGTAAACAAACAGTTCTAAGAGCACAGTGTTTTGGGTACCTAGTGCTGCTCTGACAATATACCACATATGGGATGCTTTAACAAACAGGAGTTTATTTTCTTACAGCTCTGGAGGCCAGAAGTCTGAGTTCAAAGTGCCAGGCTCTGGGGGCTGAGTGAAAGCCCCTCGACCTTAGGTTTCAGCTCTGCCTCTGGCTCCTGGCCCACTGAAGCTAGAGACATCTCTTCACTCAGGCAACTGCCAGCTGCTGAGGCTGACAAACCCAAGGTCAACAAGTGAAAAGGTACAGTCCAAATATTACCAAACCACACAGCAGGCCATTAATTCAAGTCTGTTAAAAGTCCCAAGATCGGCACTGCAATGTGGCAGACTGCTGAATAACCACACAGCTACATATAGGATTCAAGTGTGCTATCAGCTAGAGATCTTCCTCAAAGTTGCTTCTTATATACTGGTTGTTGTTATTTGCCGTCGAGTCGGCTCCGACTCATAGCGACCCCTCCTTGGGTTTCCGAGGCAGTATCACCACGGAAGTAGGATTGCCCAACCTTCCTTCCGAGGAGTGGCTGGTGGGTTTGAACCGCCAGCCTTCTGGTTAGCAGTCAAGTGCCTTAGCCACTATGCTACCAGAGCTCCTTTATGTACTGGAAGCAGCCCATATCCCTAAAACAGCTACTCAGCTGCTCCAGTAGATTCTAACATGGAGTTAATTACCAATCTCACTGTGGGGAATAACTATATCCAGCTGCCCAGCCACTCAATCAGGCTCAGCCAAGTTGACAACAACCTTAACTACCACACATAGAAATGAGAGAACTTCTATAATAGAAATGTGTGGGCCCCAAGCTAAAGTAGCCAAGACGAGCAGCCTTCTTCTAGAAAGCTTTTGTCCTTTTATCATCATCACCCAGATGTAATATGTCAAATTGATTCATGCAGATTTATTTTTCTTTTAATGTAATTTAACAAGCTTTCACAGTCATAAAACCTCTGGATGCTGATTGATTGGAGAGATGCCAGTCTGACCAGCTCCCAGCTGTGGCTGATCAGCAGTAGCATAATCTTGTTTGGCTGGATCTCAGAGGATGCTGTGGACCAGCTGGGATATTTTCAGGAGAGAGAGAAGAATGGTACTATGGACTATCTCTTTCTCAAACCAAGTGGTTTAGAAATTTACAAAGTTTCAGGATTTCAAAAAAGAAAGGAACTACTTAACCTTGAGGTTTTCTCATGGCCATTAGTAGGTTGTTCCTTGAGCACTGAACCCCTGGAGCCTGTAAAGTCACTCCAAACCAATTGTAGTTGAGTGGATTCTGATTCATGGTGATCCAATGTGTGTTGGAGCAAAATTGTGCTCCCTAGGGTTTTCAATGGCTGACTTTTTGGAAGTAGATCACGAGAATT